CTTTGACGGGTTGTCGGTGACGGAGAGAACGAGAGCGAATAGCGGCTTGTCTTCCGAGTACCCTGGCTATTCAGTCCCTGTAAGTGCAATCTATGGTCAATTTGTCCGTATAACCGGATCTCATCCCACTGTCCTCCATGTTTCTGCCCGCAAATTGTTTCTCTCAACGACCGAGAGTTGACCGACTGATGCACGCTCATGCTCATGCGTAGTCTAAGCTGATTGCGGGCAAAACAAACAGTTGAGTATTTTTCTGTTTGTCTTAGGTTCATCAACCTAAGTTCAAGGATTGTTGACCAGATGCCGTAATAATCGAACGGCTTTGTGTTTAAAAGAATGATCGATTAGTTGAAAAGTTCCTTCACAATGTTCGGTATTGATGACAGTAAACCGTCGTGCATAGGCATCTAAGATTGATAAATGTTGGGATATCAGGACATGAAAATGCATCGACAAATTTACAATGTTCCTCATTTCTGTTGGTATAATTAGTAACATTTGTTGTATTTTGTTGGAATGAATATGAAACAATGAAACCGAACTTATTGACTATTCTTTTTATTAGACCCCGGTGTGTACTGAACAGCAGACGAGGTGGAACCCCATAGTCACGATGACCTGTTGCTCAGCGATGGTAACCGGTAACCTAACCCCGGGACCTAGGAGTTGCGAATCACATAAGGCCCCGCTAAGTCAGGCGTGGTATAGAACCGGGCAACAGCCAGGCTTCCGACCACCAAAGTTCGGTGACGGGGCTCGAACCACAGGGTTCAAAGCACACCTGGGACAACGACTAAACCACTGAGCCACCACCATCGATAATGAACCAGAATGTTCTTTTAATGTGTCTTGTGGATTTATTTTGGCCGTCGGACGTTTGCCCCTCACTGGAAAGGAAAATTGCTAGGTGACGTCCACGACTTCCTTCCCTTCATCGTCCTTGATGGCCTTCTGAGAGAAACCTTGATCAGGGTTAGCAACCTTATAGTCCGTTAAATTATCGTTACCTGGAGACTTAGACAGCTCATCCAATGGTGCGCTTGTAGTAACTTGCGACCTTCAGCATGTGATTTCTGATGAAAATCGGTTAGTATAAAACATTTGCTGACGAGGATAGAGTTGAAACGGATATTGCAATCAGCGGTGAATAGGCGTCGTAAGTAACATCCGCCCAGGAATCCCCCCCCCCACTATGTTCACACATTTGAGACTTTTCCTATCGAAGTGAGAGAGCAAAATCTGAAATCATAACCACTAGCTGTTCACCTACACGAATTTGAGAATAAATCCCGATTTCGAGTCAACTGAGATATGATCTAGGAAGCATACCCACAACTTCTTGGCGACAGTAGTAACAGTTTGATTGGCTATTGAAGGGTTTTGAGTTTGGTACCGTCTATAGATATGGCGTTTGTTATTAGAAACTGGGGACTGTAACCTAATGGATTGCAGTCTCAGCTGTGTCCTTGTTTCTTGTATGTATCACTTTTCAGACAAAGATATCGAGTGAGCACTCCAAGGTTAACTTCTTTCTTTGGCCTGGGTAACCAAAATGTAGTAACGTGCTCCCACAACATATGGACACTTACAATAGTGTGGCTATTGTGAAATTTTATTTTTCCCCCGGTAGATAATGCGAGACATCTATCTCAAGTTTTCATTTTTCAATAGGTTAATAGCCTCTGTGATATTCGAACCTACTCAAAACGCATTAGAAAGTAGGTGATTTTGGTAAAACGCGAATGGTTATAGACAGGACGATGTAATCATCCAGCTGAGCACTAATTTTGGCAAAAAAAACGTTCGTGCACCACAATCTACTTGCACGAGATGAGTGAACATGGTTTATTTCGACTTCTTCAAAGTATTTGATCGAGTAAACCACCGACAATATGCTACGAAAGCTTCATAACTATAGAGTAACCGGTTTGGTTCTCGACTGTATCAAGCAGTTTGTCCAACAAAGAACCTAGTCAATTTGTATTTTGGATTCATTATCTAGGTCTCTCGCTGCTATCCGAGGTGTTCCGCTAGGATCCGTGCTGATTCCTCATGTTTTTCTTGCACTTATAAACGACCTACTACATGTTCTTGGGCCAAATATTCGAGGATGATACTAAAATCTGGAGAACAGTTACACATCCAGAGGATTATTCGGCACTCTAAGGAACTACCAATGCAGCCCACCGATGGTCAGTCGCCAAAGACATTGAATTCAACTTTTAAAAATGCTAACTTGTTCCCATATGACATAAGACTCGTTTCTATTAGGTTCTGTGGAACTACTGCATACCACTGATAATCATCAGTGGTTATCCATTCATTCACCTACATCGAACAACTATGGTATTGTCACAGCAAATGAAAAGAAAAATCACACGTTGACGGAATGAAACAGTGGAAAGCAAATTGTCAACCAAGCTCAGGGAAATAGGTTATCAATCAGTTGACAATTTTAAAGTCATGGCTAGATAACTTTCCAATGGATCAACTCTCGGGTAAAGCCGCCAAAGGGAAGTGGCAAGCAGACTAAAAACCGAATGCTGTGTGTAGAAGAAACACATGGTCAACGGGCTGGAGTTGACCTGGAAAGTTAGTCTAATCATGACCTCTATCAGGCATTTACGATGTCGGAAATCGCGAACAGCCTCACCACCCTAAAGGCCATTCCATAAGTTTGACCCGTAAACCCTCTTCCCCCATCCCACAGTGTATGTGACAGCATTTAACAATTCATCATTTTACAAAGTACGTAAGGGAACTTCATTTCACTTTACTGACCTATATTTCAAATAAATGCTGAAGATGAAGTGAAAAACCCAAGCTTGTGCATAGAGTGGATTTCCAAAACCAAATCATCTACTAATATTCTGACAGGACGGGACCAAACACCCATCTGATTCATTCTTTCTACATGCATTCTCCTCTATCTATAACGTTTGCAATTCAAGTTTCACTATTCTAAGAAAAACCACGGTAGTGACCCCA